GTCCACATAGTCAAAGCTATGGTTTTTCCAGTAGCGATGTATGGAAGTGAGAGCTGGACCATAAAGAAGGCTGACCACTGCAGAATTGATACTTTTGAATTGTGGTACTGGAGGAGGCTCTTGAGAGTCCCCTGGACTGCAAGAACAAACCTATCCATTCTGAAGGAAATCAGCCCTGAGTGCTCACGGGAAGGACAGGTCCTGAAGCTGAGGCTCCAATACTTTGGCCATCTCATGAGAAGAGAAGACTCCCTGGAAAAGACCTTGATGTTGGAAAAGTGTGAAGTCAAGAGGAGGAAGGGATGACAAAGGACGAGATGGTTGGACAGTGTCATTGAAGCTACCACATGGATTTCACCAAACTCCGGGAGGCAGTGGAGGACAGGAGGGCTTGGCATGCTCTGGTCCATGGGGTCACGAAGAGTTGGACATGACTTAATGACTAAACAGCAACCTTGTATTAATTGGCTTGCTTGTGTTATCAGTGACAGTTTTGTGGGTGGTATGTATTCACTATATGATATTTACTGTCAGTTATTTTTTACCTTGTGGCTATATCCACTCATGGAAAAGGCTTCAGGAGTTAACCTAGAGGCAAAATCCGGAGCTGGAGTCCCGAAGGCAGTTCGTGTCGTTCTGCCAACTTCTGTGACATTGCTGGAACCAGTTGTATTGGCTCTTGCCTTGCTATTGGACCATTTCAGCAACGTGGAGAGGGGGGATCTGCTGCTTGGGTAACAGCCTATCCTCCATATCACTTTACCCAGGCTTCATGCTCTGGAGAGGACACTCCTTGATTCAGAGCATGTTACCATAGTCTCTCAAGTCTGAAGGATGCCTATGACGGATATTTTTTGTACAGTAGAAGCTTGGTATCCATGGGGGATAGGTTCCAAGTCACCTCTCCCCTGCTACAGGTGCCTGAAATCAGCAGACAGTTTCAAATGCAAATGATGAGCAGGCAGATGGCAAAGAGTGAGTCACTGAGCAGTCCTTGAGCTGCTGGGAATCTGTCTTATTGGAGAAAACAAGGATCCAGCTGCGTTCCTTCAAACAGTAACTGGGAGGATGCACCATTGCTCTCTGGCCGGAAGAGGCAGATGAGGAGACAATGAAGAGGCTGCCGTTCATTTCAGACCATGGCCAGCATTCCCTTCAATGTTGTCCCCATCTGCCTTTTTGGGCAATGGAGCAGTGGCACATCCTCAGGGCAGCCGTTCTGAGGAATGGTGCTGAGTTGCTGTTTCCAATGGAAACAGGTTGCCAGAGGCCCGAGCACTCCCCAGGGCGTCATTCTTTGCCTTCTGAAGGAACAGATCTGGGGGTCCTACTGTATTTGTATCCCCTCTGTCTGGAAACCACAACTATGTCTTCCAATGGAAACCTGACATTCTAGATACCACTTTATACAATTGATGCAGTGGGCTGTGGTCCAGTGGGGCTCTTGTTACAAAGTGTTTGTCCATTTCTGTGGTGCCACAGGACTAATTTTTCCTGCAACAAATATTATTAGCTGTTTGGAAAATGTGGTTAATGACACAACATACATATTCCACCAATGTCACACACATTAACAGCTCTCTGAACTGATCTCTGTGTTGTTGAACCTTGTGTAACTTAAAAATTGTGAATCTGAAGAATATTTTATGCCTAAATCAGAAGTTGGTCCAAGTAAATATGTATATCCTAATTTATCTGCAGACCTCAAGTCTGTAGGCCATATGAACTCTGGATTAACTCCCCCCCTCAGATATTCTTCTTAATTTAACTTTTTTGGGCCCTCATCTTTTCCAGATAGATAGATTATGGTCTGAATGTGCGACCAGTGGGAGAAGAAGAAAAATCCTTGAAACAGAAAAGCAAGAGCTAGACAGAGAGAACAGAAGACTGAAGGCTAAGGTGAAGGATCTTCAGGATCTTCTTGAAAGAAACAGTGAATTGCCTGCAGTTCATTTGTGTGGAACTCTCAAGATACCAGGCAGTGAAGGGCTGGGGAAGAAGCTATAATACTTAACAGCTTCGCCACAATTAGTTGTTACACGCCATCAAGTCACCTCTGACCTATGATTATCCTATGTATGAGTGATAATGTTTGATGTGTAATATATACTTCCCTTCCTGAGTGTTCTGCTCTTTTTTCCTTCCCACAACATCTGTGCAACATCTACAGGAACCACGGCACAGACAAAACCACGTGTTAGAGATAGACACTAGAAGCAATTCTCTCTTGCCCTTTTCTCCACATGATACCCATTAACACAATGTATATCCATACTGTACCTTGCAATACCGTTTTGAAAGATGCGGAGGAATATTATATAGAAGTCTCACTATATGCTGTATTCTCTTCTGTTGCTCCGTTCCTTTGAATTATGAATGCATATAATTGCTTCAATATGCCATTCTATTTAATTATGCAGACTGTTTTGTTTTTATCAGACCTTAAGCTGCCTATCACATGATGCAGAGTGTGGCCTCTTCACAATATTATTTCAAGGCTCCTGCATGCCCCTTTGTCTATGACCATGTCAATGTTCCCTGATCATGATCTAGTGAAACTAATCTGCCTAAATTTAGACAGATGGGAAGCAATAGTGCTTGCCCTATAGGGCAAGGATGGGTAGATCTGGAGAGGTGTTGCGATTAAATAGGTCACACTAGAGGGTAGTGTGGATGGGAGCAGAGTAGCAGTGACTTCTGAACGTTACATCAGGTCTGCTGTTGCAACCAACATCACGACTCTGAGGATTCTGAGATTCACTTGCCGTGCTGGGGTGATGCATGGTGGCCAGCCATGGCCACTGGCCACCTAATGTCATGAAACCTGGGTGGCTGGTGCCCGGGGGAGGGAGAATCATCTGAGTGTTGGCTGACCAAGAATGGGCTGACAGCATGGACTTTGAACTTGTAACTTGTCAGATGAGGTCAGGATCAGTGTAAACAGGTACCCCTGGACCCTCTCTCAGGAAGCCGCACTACATTTGGCCCCTCTGCAGAATCTGTGGAGATTACATTTATTGAGTTAATAAAATGGGGCCCTAGTTAAACCCATAACCTGTGCCTTGTCTCTTTATTTCTGGGGTAGGCAGACAAAATACAGTATTCTTGTAGTTCAGTAACAACAAGGAGTTTTGTTTTACTGTAGGTGAAAAACTGAAGCTGCAATCTTATGTACACCTACCTGGGAAGAAAACTGGTCTGTGTGCACTTACTTCTGAGGAGACATGTGTAGGATGACACTATAACAAATATTTCGTAAGGGTGTTTTTTGTTTGTTTGTTTTGTTTTGCTATTTTTCAATCAGTGGACACTAATCTACAAAAATTGATGCTGCAATAAATTTGATTTCCTAAACTGTTAGTCCCAGTTCTTTATATGGCTCTTGTATGTCACTGTCTTTTTTTCCTTAGGGGCAGGGGTGAACCACTGAACATGCTTCAGAATATCATAGGATATTAATGAGACATCAGTGCTATTGTCTTTGATTCATATCCTTGGTTGAAAGAGCAGCAGTAGGATTTTTTCCTAACATTTAACAAATCGTACACCAAGCTCTGCATCTCAGTGTGGTTGTGATGCAGTGTGTGTGTGTATGGGGGGGAATCCCATTTGCCAGCAAAGACAAGATCTGATTTGCTCTCGTAGCTGAAATTTAAAAACACTTCTAAATCTAGAGACTATATGTACATTTATAACAACATTGCTCATCCAACATGCAGCGTTGAGAGGGTGACATTCCATGCTCACGAAAACTAGCCCAAGGAATTTGTTGATGGAGTGAGAAGTAGCTGTGTTAATTTGTTAAACCCAAATCAGCATAAGTACCTCCTGGTACTTTGAAAACAAGAAGGTTTTATTTGGCATGAAAAGCTTGTCTTTAAAGTGCCCCAAGACTTTTTGTTGCCTCAGCCCACAGAAAAAGAAATAGGGAAAGAGTAAATGAAAGATTAAAAAATGAGACCAGTGAACCTTGGGAAAGGGATGGAGAAAATGATTGCCCCTCCCCTCCCAACAAAGCAGAACCAACTCAAAATAAAGTAGATGATAAATGAAGAAAACAAAATACAAAAGAAAATAAAAAAGTTATAGCATTTAAATCATCAGTGACAGAAATAAAGAAACCCAAAGAGAGATTGTAGATAACACCTCCCAGCTAAGCATAGTTTGGCTCTTTGTAATCACCACCATCATCATTGTCTTAGAACTGCAGAGCTGGAAGGGACCCTATGGATCATCTAGGCCCTGTCAAAGATGTGGAACTACATGATCTGGAATAGCAACTATTTTCCAATGTACTTCATACAAATACACAACAAGACTCGGGGTGTGACCTGGTGAGCAGCCAATGATAGTTTATTTGGGTTAAGTATTTATTTAAAATATTTATCTACCAATTCTCTGAAACTTGGTAAGGTGGTGTGTGGTAACACAAATAACGAGAAAAATAATAGCAACAGTAACAACCACATAAAACGCAATATGACCAGAATTTATATAAAAAAAATAGAAAGCAAAATGGAAAATGATGTGTTTCAGTTTCACTACTAAACATGGATTCAAGCAGGGACCAGTTGTAACTTCAAACACACTTTGTATTGTACAGGTTGGAGAAAATATAGAAGACAATTATCCACAAGTAGGGGTCCTTAAACAAGCAAATAATGTCATTATCCAATTGTATCTTCTTGCCCCAGGGACTTAAGTAATGTTTTCATTTATCCAGTGGTGGGGAATACATTATACAGATGCCATAGGTTGTTGGACTGTAGATCCCACCATTATTAATCACTGTAACCAATGGTGAAGGATAGTGGGTGCTCCAGCCGACAGTATCTGAAAGCCCTAAATTTCTCCACATCTGCTATCATTGAAAAGAAAATTATCCCGGGACAACATATATCTTCTTGCATCTGTGGATCACTTTGATGGCGCTAAGCACCCTAGTTCTTTGGACTGTGAATACAGTTGCTTCTGGGTGGATGGGGAAGCAATACAGTGGTGCCCCGCATAGCGAGGTTAATCCGTTCCGGATTAACCTTCGCTATGCGGAATCGTCGCTAAACGG